AAAGTGAATCGACCATCGATCGTCTAGGAGGACGCTAGGCTGGTTTCCAGGAGAGTGTAAACAACGCGTAGGAAGACGTGCAGATCGATTTCAAGATGAGTTAAAAATTCGCTGGATAAAGATGGATACGAATTGCAACAAGCAGGAATTTGTGAAAAGTCTTGGAAAGGCCGTCAGCCAGTAATGAATCGAAAAGGCTTATAGTAATGTTGATATATTCTCCCGAATCTTTTCATTCTTTCGCTCAAAGTCCTTTGATTAGGATCATCGGCCGAAGACAACTTCAGAATCTTTGGGGTCGGCTTCCTGGTGTCTGATGACGAAGCAGGGATTAGAATTGGCGAAGCACTGCTTAGCAAAATGCATAAAAGCGTTGTTGTTGTTAGCAGTATGTTCAGGCTAGTTGGAAAATTGAATTCTCTCATACATCGTTTTAAAACTCTGGCTTAACTTGCTTCGTTAATACCAGATATCTTGTCCTCCATGGCCTACAAGTAGGCTTCGTCATCCAGCTAAAACCTTTCTCGATTTTCAACATCTGGTTGACATTTTTTTCGCACATGCAAATAGCCGTTTGGTTCGGACTGGCAGATGAGTCACAACGGAAAAAATTCTGCTTTTCCTCAGCTTGTGCTTTCGTGTAAGCTTTTGACTTGTTTGTTTGTTTTGCTGATTCTCAGAACGTGTCGAAGCAAATCGCCAGGCTGACCCTTCGACTGAAAATCTTTCTCGCTGCATCTTACTTTGTGTTTCAGCTCACTTCACCAATCCATTCTTAACACGACCAATTCACGGGTGATTAAGCACAATTTTCTGCTTATGTTATGGTAGAAAAGTAGGGAAAAAGAAGAGTTCCTAAATTGTCCTGCTGCCCTCAACTTATTAACAGCAAATTTTATCCTTTTTGCAAGTGCTGTATTTTAGTATGGATAGCAGAGTCATTTTCCTCGTTGTTTTGTCGCACTTAAAAATTCATTTTACACCTTCACCTTACTTGTTTTTGTAAACAAAATATCGCTTCTATTGCTTAATTCTTGAATTATCTGAATGTAAAGAGAATCAAAGGAGGAAGCATTAAGAACTTGAAAGATAGATCTCCAACTGTGTTTATTGGAAGACTTCAAGGTATATTCCATGGGAACGAAATTACATTTCTTTCACTTGTACTTTATAAATGCCCTAGAAGTCTGTAGACATATTGGAAATAAATGAGTATCTTCCTCGCAAATTCGGGTTGACTCTGACCAAGTCAAGATAGCAGTCTAATGGCTGATTCAAGACATCAGCCTAAAACGTACTTCAGACTGGTGTGAAACTGATCTTATAAGCAGTAATAGAAGTATATCGACTACTTCTTAGTCATTTGTATTACAAAACACGTTTGGTTTATCACGTTTGGTTACAAAACACGTTTGGTTCTTATCCTTCGGCTTTATGTTATCTGAATATTGATATCATGATTCCAGGCCACTTTGTTTTCTGCGTTTTTCACCGTTAGCTGTTTGTGTGACGTCATTGGCTTTGCATAGCAACAGCTGACCACACTGTTAATGATTTCTAAATATTCAAGTTGCTTTGCTCAGTTTATTGATGAAATTCCTTGTCGTCGTGAAACTGTAATTATGAGATTCAGATTTTAAGCGCATTAGCCTATTTCCGGTATTAAGCAAACGGGTTTTTGCGTCTCACATCTAAAAAATAATTACGTGGACGATGACTGATCTTTGTGACTTGTGTTCCTTTGCTTGCTACTGGAAAATATGAATCTTTGTCACGTTAGTACTGATTGAAGAGACATATGGACGTTCTTAAACGAATCTATTAATCGTAGGTGAAACACTGACGCGATTAAGGCTAAAGCCATGTAGATGCTGAAATAAACGGGTAACTTGTGTGATCATCTGAACAGACGTCTATTTATCCGATGTCGACAATCACCTCAGACGAAATGAGCGAGTCGAAGGTAAAGTGTTCGCAACGCAGAAGTTCGACGACGTGATCAACATATGTTACCCGTTATATCTCAGCAGCCTTGGCGATGCGTCATATGCTGTTTGAATCACGCAGATTGCAACAAGCCTTTAAACGGAGATTAAGACCGAACTGGTGGGATGTTGACTAGCAACCAATTTGTTCTACAGTTTTAAACTGCAGCATGACCAGTGCTTTTATTTTGTTTTCATGGGCGTAGTCGGCTCAACGGCTCCCTTTTACCTTGTGCTGATCGTTCTTCTTTTGCCGTGTCTATTGGTGATAAAATGTGCTGACGGCGATTTTACAGGCGACGTTGATGCGCACGAGATCAGCTGGCATTGGCGACTGCGATGGACACGTGACGGACATTAATGGACACGATGGTCAACAAAGAGACGCCTCCTACTCACGTCGAATTCGTTCATGCAATTGTCGACGATCAGAAGACTGTGCAACCTTTGACGGACAGCAGCGGTGGTACCAGGTGAGCCAGTTGCTCAGTTCGTGTAATATTTACTCAAACAAGCTTCTTTAGTCCAAACATGGCCGCAAACGAATCGCTCTACCAGGGCGTGTCCAATGGCTCATTGAACGGCTCTGGCTTCGTCGATTCGCCTCCAGTACCTGCTTTTCGTTCACCTTGTTCCTCTGCCAAGTGAGATATGTTGGCCTTCATGTAATGGAATAACCACAAACAAACGTTTTAGTTCATCGTTTCACCTTCCAAAGAGACTTTCCTCCAACGCGCTTGCTAAGTAATTTTTTTTCAACTTATAACCAAAGAAATAGTGTATCACTAAGAAGCGTGTTCTAATTCAGTAACAGCTTACACAAAGACCGCCTAAAGACTGGTCAGTATCCGTACCAATACAACATCGTCCATCAAACGGAAACTTAGGGAGGATGTCCTTTGTTCCCTGAAAGCAGCATCTTCAGCTGGGATGTTATTTCTTCTATCCGACTTGTTTTTTTATCAACGGCCACGCTACAGACTCAAGTCGACTTTCCGCGATTCTTTTGAGTGTTGTGCCATCTGCTTCCATCACTGACCAAACAGCTTCATC